TTCTGGTAGAAAGGATACATTTTCAATTTTATTCAATAGAATAATTGGCACTCCCTCTTCTGTTTAATTCTGATTGTTCCACAATAAGATGGAAAGTTGTAACTAGTAGTAAAAAATGCAGAGATTTGATTGAAAAGGCTAGTAACACATATCATTTTTCTAAGTATTTCTCTCTAAGTATTGGTGCTTGACAGTTTCACATTTATCAAAGACAACTAACATGCCAAATGCCAAATGCACGCGTTTGATTTTCCATCAATTTTATAACTTCAGGGGCTTGAGGGAGCCAGCACCTATCCTGGCAGGCAATAGGCATAAGGCAGGATACACCCTGAATGGGATGCCAGTCCATCGCAGAGCAGTCACACAGGCACAAACACACATCAGAGCCAATTTTTCCAAAAGCCGATTAACCTACCAGTATGTTTTTGGACTGTGGAAGGAAACTGGAGCAGCTGACGGAAATCCATACAAACACAGGGAGAACATACAATCTCCACACAGATACCACCCCAGGTCTGGAATTGAAGCCAGGACTCCAGAAATACAAGGCAGCAATGCTTACCACATGATTTTAAGCTTAGCTAATTTTCACAAAGGACAAAATACAGAGAACGACGGTCATACAGACCAGCAAAAATGTGGAAAGCCTCTAGATGATTGCAAAATGTTGTTTTGGATCAAAGTATTTGGAAAGTAAATTAATAATAGTAAAAGAGGAAAAACAAAAATGACAGCATAAGACAAGGACTTATGGACAGCTGCACAAAGCAACCAAATCGAATGAACATGCTGAGGAGTGGATACCAAAAGTACGACCTCTAAAATAAGGGAGCTTTGTTCCTAGTCTCATTAAGTTTGAATTGTTTCCATTTGCCAGTGTGTCAACTCTCTGGGAGAGAGAAAGAGGAATGAAAAAAGAAAGGAGCTGGACAGGCCTGGTGGACCCAATCCATGCCAAGCCTGTAGACTTATGTAAGTGTCCGTAGGGAGGTGTCCAGATCACACCCACTAGCAGCTGAGGGCTGGAAGGGATTCTGAGCATTGCTGCCGTCCCAAAAACACAAGGATTTCAATTCTTGCACAAACCAAAATTTTTCACATTTAAAGGCCAAGATGGTTCAATGATGATTTACTGTCTCTAAGTGTTTTGGTATTTTGATTTTTGATCTTTTTCTTGTTTAGAGTTTTCGAAGAGCATAAAAGGAGATGTGAGAGACACCTTTCAACACACAAAAAAACAATAGTTTGAACTTCTACAAAAATAAATGTTTGGTAATACATATATACATCATGTGGTGACTTGTCTGTCACCCAGGGGCGCTGAATGTAACCCAGATGCTTTATAGCCAATGCTTGCTCTGTCCACACTGCAAGCATGCTTACAGCAACACCTACCAACATCAGTCAATCAAGCAATTGATCAATCAAACAATCAGGCAGTCAAATTTCACTCCAAGAGAACTTAAAGTTCCCAAAGTGCTATGCTACTTATTTGGTGGCAAAGAACTGCAAATTCCCACTGGTTCAGTCTCCTCTAATGTCAATTGTGTAAAAACAGTATGGCACTTGATTTTCAGGATTCATTATGATCAAATTGCAAAGTCCAAACATGAACAAATAACTGAACAATCTAGCCTGTCGTGACTTGATTCTAGTCAGCACAGACTGTTAAGTAACTGTAAAAAACGGCAGCTAATGTTCCTATTATGTTGGACTTTATCACCCTTTTATATTTGTAGCATGTGTTTTGGAATGGCAAAATGGCATCATTGAGTTACTTCTGTTGCTAAAAAAAAAACTATGAGCTGGGTTCTGCCATATACATAAACTAATAAGAAAGCAAACACAAATCTGAAAAGTTCCAGCTGTGCAGACTATGGGAAATTACATCTCTTCAAAGAGATACCTCTCATATAGTGTATCAGTTTATTATGATTCACACAAATTGAAATTCTACCCAGGCATAACTTTGAAACAAAAAATAACTTTCATTTCATAAGAAAACACTCTGCTCCTCCTTTGCCATGTTGTTAGTGTTTTGTTTGGGGTCATTGTAACTTTGATGTTCTAGAGGTTAAGGCCAGGATAAAATATCAACCTGCCCTCCAACTGACTATTACAAACCCAGCACTAGATGCAAGCTTTCCTCTGGGTAGAAGCAAAAGAAAGAAAAAAAGTCAAACAGGAGGCGGCTATTAGGTTCTGAATTGCAAATTTGAGATTGCACTGAAAAACATGAGTGGGTTATAAAGGAGAGGAAGCCATCTTGCTAATGACTGTTTTTTCCGGTCGGTGATTGATCCTGGGATTTCGTCCAGCTGCTTCTGCAATGCCACTAGGGTATCAGCGTTACAGATGTGACTTGGCATCTACAGTGTCATGAAGCGTTTTTCAGGACCCTATACAGACGGCAGAATCCAGAAGGGAGTGCAACAAACATGGGGAAAGAGGACTAGGAACGGGGCTGGTAGACGAACAGGGGGGCGTGTCGACAGTGCACTGATGCTCAGGGGGGTGTGGCCAAGGCAAACAAGTCCAAAGGGAGTCCTTAGAAGAAGCCAGGGTGAGCAAAAGGTCCAGAGCAGGGTAATCCATTCATGACTGACGAGACAATAGTTAAAAGCCGGAGCGGGATCCGACGAAGGGTCGGGGAAATAAAAAGGGGTAACGGGACCAGCTGCTCCCAGCCCCGGACCCAGATGGTCAGGACGCCGTTGTGAAGCCTATGCTGTCGGGCCACTCCTGGACCAGCTGGTAGGCGGGCTTCCAGGCGTCAATCTTCCAAAGCTGAGCCCAGATTGGTAGGAGCATCTGGCTTTTATAGGAAGGGGCTAGAACAGGGGGCAGGTTAAAAAATCAGGGACTTACGATTGTGACATACAGTAGTTCCAGACTCCCAGAACCCTTTGAACATAAGCATCTCTCTTCACCTCAGAAATAAATGCCTTTCCCATTAGAACCAGTTGTGTCCTCTGGTTGATGGAATGAAAAAATCAGCTAGAATTGCCACAAAAAGAGGTAAAGGTTTTCTTTAGTTATGTGACCTTCACTCAAGATTTACCACCTCATTAGATTATTTTGGTATAAATAGTGGCCTACTTTTTAAGAGATATGCTTGAAGCTGAACATCAGCAAATGTAAGCGTAATTTCCTCTCTATCTTAGTCTCTTGCAGTACTTTCTTTTAGTAATACTCTTCGACTAGTGGTCTTATTTTGACAATTCGGTAGTCTGTTAGGAATACAATGAGTAATAGTGTTTGTGTTTCGGGACCTTGAAACAAATTGTAAGCTTAAAATACAGTATGTACAGTAAATTGATAGGAATGTAATTTTCTTATATAGCATTCCAATAGCAATGGTAGATTCAAATCCTCCTATTGCTATAGCAATTTGATGCCTATATAAATGAGGCTTGCAAGCCCAAAAGGTTAATTACTCAGAATGTAGTAAAAGACTGCTATAGTTTGCTTTATTGGACTGTCAGACCAGGTTTTGTGTTTACTAAAGAAGCTTTTTGTTGCCTTGTCTGCTCCTAACTCACTGTTCCAGATATTTGCATACTACAGTATTATACAGGTGGTTTTGTGATGTACAGCTTTTTTCAATGAAAGAAGATTTTTTTTTCTCTGCTAAGTAAATCTGATGTCAGTTATGGATTGTGTCCTATTATTTCCAGCATGATTCTTGTGGGTCAGCACCATAAAGTCTGCTTTTGAGTCTGAGTTTGAAATAGAAAACAGTCCTTGTCATTCTCACTTACATTACGGGGCAATATACTGTGGTTAAAGGAACAAGACAAGCCATAGCAATGGGGTCACAGGGTTTCAACAACTGGCAGGACATTGGGTTTGTGCAGCCGTGCATATAAATTCACCGAAACAAAAAGAGCTCAGTGTAATGATGCCAGAACAGACTTCAATCTGGCTGGTTCTGTTGTTTGAGACCCCAAGAAGAGAGTAACTTAAAACCCCAGAATTATATTTGTTTAAAGCAGGTTTTATTCTGCATTACCTGGCATATCTGTCCTGCGTTTCTCTAAGCTTGCAGTCCTGCCACGTTAGGGTGAATGCTCCTAAATAATGCAAAGCTATTCCATTTTTCCATACCACCTCTGGGCCTTGTGATATCAGGATGTTCATATGCTTTCTTCATGATCATGAGCATTCATGTACTGTATTATACAGTGCATCCATGTATCAGTGCATATTTGGGATATTGTTGTCAAACAGTATTATCTCCTTAAGTGTGTTTTTGCCTTCCTTTGAGGCAAACAGACCTCATGTCATACCAGATATCTGTATAAAGGACTGTGTCCGTGGCAAAAATGACTTACCTTGGAGAAAAAGTTTATTAACTTAAAAAGAACTACCCTGTATATACCATTTATGTTCTCTGTATTTTGGAATTGTGTTGCAGAAATATGAAGTCTATTTCAGTGTTACAGTACTTATTATAATGTGCATGGCAGAAGGAACTGAATCTTGTCTTTCCTGCTTGTGCTGATACACAAAGCAAGTTCTTGGTTGAACCATCAGTATATTTTTTTCTCCAGCTGCAAATAACATATTTTAAATGTAACTGTTTCTGTCTAGCATTTAGAAAAATATAGCATGATGTTTTGTAAAGAATGACTTTAAAGACCTTGCAAGGATCAGCATTACTTTGAATGTTATGACTGCAGTGGATGAGAAATACTGCATTTCACTTTTAAAGCCATGCAGGTTACTATGATTATTTTTAACATTTGTTCAATCTAATTTTCAATGTAGTTTTCTCTATTTTTTTCAATTTATTTTAGTTCCAAAGACTGGAAAATGGAAGTACATATCCTGCATGCAGTATATTTAGCAAATTGATCCATTGGGATAAACCTGTGGGATAAAACGACTCCACTGGTTTTCTCCAGAAGGACTTTGCGCATACACAGGATTAGGAAAAATGAGTTTAATTTCTTGTGATCTGATAAAAGCCGCTATTCAAAATAATCTCCACTCTACTTAGAAAACTCTATGCTTGAAAGCACATTGCATTTTATTACATGCCTGAAATTTCTTTCTAATTAATTTACATGTTCTATCTTGTCATCTTCTCAAGCACGAAAATAAAATAAAAAGAAGCCTGCAACACAAATCAGGATCCAAACTGACGCCGCCCACTTGTTAAATTCCCACAGGTCCTTACTCTTTTGAACAAGCGATTTAAGTCTACTCGGGTTCTCAAATGTACTACTATTTGTCATATTTAATACATTGATCAAAGTGTCCTGCATACTGTACCTTCAGAGAAGGATCTCTAATGTACTGATTTACTGTAGCAAAACTGAATAGCTTGTTTTCGAAGAACCATTAGAGTAACGAGTCAGTTGTTCACATTAGATTTAATAGAGTTTATGTTGCTTATCTATTCCTTCTGGAATAGATAGAACATACAGTCAGTAGTTTCCAGTGCTGAGGGAGAAGCTGTAGTCCCCTCCTAATTCCATCAAAATAGGTCTGTATCAGTGCAGAATGTCACAAAAGATACTAGTGGCCCCTCCAAAAAAATAACAGCTTAGTCCAGACACTGTCACACCTCAGCTTCCACCCTTGGAACTCATGAATCTTGCGGTTGTATGAATTTTAGGAACCTCATGATTATTTTTTAATTGGCAAAAAGACACTTTGGGTTCTGGAACTGGTAAACAGCTTAGATGTCCAGCTGTTTATAGAGATGGACACAAGAAGAAGCGTAGTGGGAGCTCAAACAGGAGTTAAAGGTTTGATTTCTGTTGTTATTTTTTTTCTCACTTTCAATAATAAGCACTGTTTATTTTACTTTTACGGCTGTATTGGTTTATTTTTCCCTGAGACCAATCTGTTAAAAATCATCATAACGGCACTCCACCACAGCCCATACCTATAACATGCAAATGTTAAACATCCTTAGTCCAGGAACAGAGCCCTAAGATTCTCCTGAAGGATTATAAGATGATACTTAGATCAAGTCTGGCAACTCAGCCCATTAATGCCCACTCAGAATGGATGTTGAGATAAATAACACTCAGACTAGCTCAATATGGTTTCTGAGAAATTTTACAGTATATGATCACCTTCACCAAATTCAACAATTAAATCCAAGAGATCAAGAATTATTTGAGATCCACTGTCCAAGGTCAACACTATATCATTATTAAATCTTTCAAGAGCAATTTCAGTACTTCACATATTTAGAAAACTAAATATTGTTAACGCACAGGGAAAAAAAAAAGGAACAGCAACAGGTAGTCCCAGAACTTTAACCAAAGATTATTTCACATTTATTAAGACAATGTAACTGGAGTCAAAACAAATAGGAAGGCATAGATATACTGTATACTGTATAGAGCTGCTAATTCGCAATTGAGAATTGAGGATGCAAGCAATTTTAAAAGGTGTCTTGCTTTTCTGGATACTATTGTTTCATATGAAATTCTGTGAAAATAAATTTTAAAAGAAATTCAAACTCAAAAGGCACAAAATACAATCCCTAAACTTGCCTTAAAGGAACATGTTTATAATATATGTTCTCTGTCCTTTTTAAAGTATTTATCTGGTGAAGCTTCCAAATTATTATGTAAGTGAGAGCTGTTAATGACTAATTAATTTAATTGTTTTTTCCGTGAATCTTGAGTTAATAGTGATAAGCATGAACCCACTTTTTATGCCAAGCTTAATCAAAACCATTTGGGCAATTACACATATTTGCAATAGACCAATTTTAAAAGACATTAATATTATTTATTTACTTTTGCCTGCTTAAAAATGGAGCCTGTTCTTTTTACATTTATTAGAAAGACATTATACAAGGAATAAATGTTCCTAAAATATCCTTAAAGGGATAAATAATCCTTAAATATGTTCTTATACTGTATATCACCTTAGAAAATAATGGAGCTTCTTTCACTGACACACGACAATGCTGCATTAGACATGTAAAGCTAAATTATGTCCATCGTGGCTCTATGCAGAAGGGCTATTAGGAAATTAGCACCAAAAAACAGCTCTAATCACAGTGTATTTCATCTTCTGCCTCAGATGATAGAAATAAGCCTTTTTTGTGCACAATGATTCACCAATGGGCCCCAGAGCACTATGCATTACACATCTAAACAACACACAAGACAAACACATGGCTAATATTTGGAAAAGGCACAGCAGGCAAGTGTGTTGAGTACAGTACAATCACCGAGCAGACCTGACACACAACAAGGGCATTAGGAAAGAAAAAACATAAGATCAATTCACATTGACAAACACATGATAAACCACACAAATGGACATAGGTTAGACTCGCATAAAAGAGAATATAATAGAAAAAGCAGGCAAAAAATACCTAGATTTTCCTTGTCACAAAATAGGAGGTTTATATTTAAAACTGCACATGGGAACTATCTGTTCCTTGTGCTACAGGTCCTGTGTAAATTTAAGAGATACTGAAAAGCTTTTGCTAACAGACAGATACAATACTAATTGTGTTCTTGTCTTGAATAAGAATAATCAAAATAACTTGATATCCATGTAGCTGGTGCACACTCACTTTATCCATCACCAATGTGGGTCAACCAATGCTGTTGACTGGCAGCCATTTTGTGCCAGGAGCACAGTAAAGCACTGTATTAGCTGTGTCAATAGACTGAAAATATTTTTCTTTGGTAAGAAATTACTCGGCTTGTTTGTCATTATGTCAGTTATGGACTACTATCTTAGGTTAGGAGGGGCAATGAGAAGTGAAACTGTTGTCATGACGGACAAAGTCAGCTGTACATTTGCTGACTGCCTGTTTATATCTAATGGCGGCGTCAATTTGTTGTTGAGACCACTGAGGCTGCACTATTAAGGCCAGAGGCAGAGGCGGGCGGGGATGAGAAGGGTGTGAGGGCTAGTCTTCGTAGCTCTGGGGGCGCAGGACGATGCTGTGGTAGGTCTTGATACAGGAGAAGGCGGTAGGAGGGATGAGACGGCGGTCAATAAGGTTATTTTCCAGATGCACAGAGATGAGAAGAGAGTCTTCACTGACCCTGGTGTCACAGATGGAGTTGAGTGGCACATACCTAAGGAAGACATTTTCAGTGCTGGAGTAAGTATAACCACAATGCAAGGTAAGACACAAAGGATACCAAGTATATCTGAAGCAAAATTAATATAATGAAATTAACTATGGGCAGCTTGGTTGTACAGTGGTTCGCATTGCTACAGCGCAGCACTGGGGGCCTGTGTTCAATTCTCTGGGTGCTATCTGCGTGGAGTTTGTATGTTCTCTCTGCGTTTAGTGGGTTTCCTCTGGGTGCTCTAGTTTCCTCCCACAGTCTAAAGACGTACTGACAGGTTAATTGACTGTCATTGTGTCTGTGTGTGCCCTGTGATGGGCTGGCATTCCATCCAGGGAGTAGGGTGTCCTGAAATTATGTATTTTTATAACTATACATATAAAATCTACTTAAAACTTTCTTGATTATAAGAAAACCTTTATTTTATTCTACTCTGACTGGCAGGTCTATGGCATCAGAGCTGGAAAGTAGAATATTTCTTTCCTCTGTAGCAAAAACGTGATCTCATTTTTGTCTAAGTAAGTGTAAACTTTATAAAGGTGGAACTCTAACAAGATCTAAGAGACAACAAATGAGTTTTGGAGGCACTATGTTGTTGTTTTTACTGCAGAAGGTATAACAAGACCCAAGAATTAAATGCATTGGAAATGTTTATTGAGTGCTTAGTTATGGTAAGATCTGACTCTGGCCATACTGTAGGTCAAGGAGTTTGGGATACTACTGCAGTTTAAAGATATAATCATGGGGAAGCTGCAGAGGTGGGATGGGGTGGACAAGTGAGCCATGAATTGAATGTATGTACAGTATTTATAGCTTTTGGAAAAATTACACAGAATTACAGGACACCCCTACCAAACTTTCATTCTAAACCCTAAACTTAAATGGTTGTTTGCAGAACAGACAAAAGGAAAACAACTACAGTATAAGCTTTTGAAAGTTGCACTGTAGTTTTGTTCTAAGGCTCAGTTATTGCTTCTTGTTTATTATGAGTCAATGGTGTGTAACATTACGTTTTTTAGAAAAGATTAAAACAAACAAACACATTTTGGAACCGTTATGTTTTCAGATTCTTATCATGGTGCATTCAAGCTTGCCTTTGTTGCACTTATTGTGGAAAGCAGAGCTAGGTTTCTAAAATACACATGACTTGTCAACCAAGCTCATTAATCATTATGCTTTACAACACAAGCAAACCAGCAGCTAGCAATATGTATAATTAAAGTCACCTAAATCTGCCTGCTTTATTCACATTATCTCTTATGCGGCCCCTCCAAATCAAAAGGAAGTGTTCTTTTCTGGGAGGAAAAATATCAGTGTTGCACATAACTCAGTTGTAAATTATGCATTACACTAGGGAGCAGTGCCTTTCCTTTTGCAGTGTGTTTCCACCCTTTGAGAACCCTGTTAACTTTTTTTTTTCTGGATGGATTACTGGCTCTGAGCAAAGACAAAACAGTTATCAAGAAAAAGACTGATCAGGGATAAAGGTACAAGCAACAGATTAGGGATAAAACAGAAGAAAGAACTGCATTAAACAAATAGCTATCTGTCCGCATGTACAGTATGAACTGCAAGATTAATTAAATGTAAAGATGATACTGCAGAATGCAATATATTTTTAAGGAACATTTAGTGCTAGAAGGAGGAGGTTTAGATCTTTTTGTATTAAAACTCTTGTTTTAATTTGGTCTTGGTGTGCCCCACCTGACAAGAAGCAAGCCTGGCCAAGCCTTTTCATGACAGTGAACATGAATTCCCGATTCCTTCCAAGCCATTTGATCTCCTGGTGCCTAGCAGCTGGCACATCAGGAGGAAAGTAAAGCATAAAAAATAGTCTGTGCATGTGTATAGAGGAATGGCACATCAGGAGGAAAGTAAAGCAGAGAAAATAGTCTGTGCATGTGTATGTACTGTATAGGTAGATGGGTACAAATTCTTAAATGCTCTGCTTGCATTTCTCATTGGATCATCCTCAGAAAAGGGGCTTCTGAAAATATTTATTGAATCTGATGGTCAAAAATTGCACACGATTAATTTGCACCAAGCCAATGTTTTTGTTTGATTGGTAATATACTGTGCTATGACATGGATACACTTTCTTACATGGTTTCTCCCCAGAACGTGTTTGTGGAGAAACACAAGCCTTTGCAAACATACTGCTTTGTACATATACATGCACAGTCCAGCTGACAATCCTTGCCTTATATGTAAATGTCTAAACCCACGCCTGGTGGGCACACAGAGCTGCACTCTAAGTCTTCCAGTAATATAAAAGACACCATGTGTCCCAATTATGTTTATTCACCTAGGATTTTATACTTTGTTTTGTATCTGAAAATGATAAATTTGTAAATCACTCATATTCTCCCAATACTTCAGAATGAGCGACACTAAGTTCTGATTGGCTTTCCCTTTGAAAGACAGATATCACCAGTGCAGCAGCATCTCATTTCCAGCAATGCCATCTAAAGGAGGTACCTGATGTAGTTGTCATTGAGACGCAGGACCTGCAGGGATTTGAGGTTGAGCAGCCCACGTGGTATAGCCCTCAGGTGGTTGTTGTCCAGCAACAGTTCAGTGAGGGAGCGGTACAACCCCAGGAAGGAAACTCCATGGATCCCATCATCCTGCAGATGATTGTGGGAGAGGTGCAGGAACTCCAGGCCTGGGCGCATATGGGCAAAGACATAACCAGGGATCCTCTCTATCTGGTTGTGGTGCAGAATGAGTTGTCTGAGTCCGATGGGCAGGAAGGAAGGCACATGGACCAGTTTGTTGCTGGAAAGGTCAATGGTTTCCAGTAACCTGTGGGAAAAAGCAGAAAAAAAGGAGAAAAATAAGATACATTAAATAGGCTAATCAAAATCAGAAGTCTAGTATTATTTGCGTGCTCCAAACACTCCTACAACTGTTTTGCAAATGTAAAAATATCCTTATTATAGAGTGATGTTGGTTGGTCAGTGATGAGACAACCCTTCACCCACTTTGTGGTCATCACTGAAGTTACAGGTTCTGACAACTGCCCTGCCCATATGGTTTGTACCCTTACGAATAAGGCTCTTCATTCTACAATGTGATGATGTGTGCTGCGTAAGGGGATACTACACTTGATCTTAGCTAAAAGGCTGAGAGGCGAATATATAGAGGATACAGCTCAGTGCACTGAAGAGCTTGGTTTTAAGCTGTTACCCCACTCACCTTACAGACTTCACTGTACACTGCTTGTACTGCTACCTCTGGTGACTTTGTCCAAAGTGACAAGGAAAATAGGTGGATATTATGGATAAGACTGATGATAATACTGACCTGTTAATTGTAACACATTACATAAAATAATAGTAATCAGAAAAGTCTTAACCTGGTTGTGGAGCCAAGCAGTGTTACACCACCTACTAGCCTTCCCATATTAGTCAAACACAGGATGGTGTGTCCATTGTGGCTAACAATAAGCCACACAAGTACAGTGTTTGCAATGCACCTAAAAATAGCCATTCCCACATAAATGCAGGGGCCTGTACCTAAAAAAACAGTGAGCTAGCAACAGACCTGTAAAAACAACAAATACAAAAAAAAACGTCTTCCGGGAACTAGCTGTCTCCCCATCTTAGCTGAGCTAACAACAACAACAAAACAAAATGCCTGTCTAAATGTAAAGTACAAAAGATAAGGAGATAAGGAAAAAAAACAGAGTGCAACAAAAAGTCTCGTTCAAGAACTTGTACAAGTCTCCAGTTTCCGAGGTCTTTCCTAGGTTTTTCTGCTCTTTCTCTAGATCTCTATCCCCTCTGCTTATACTGGTATGCTGGAGGTCCACAGCTGATGGCAATTAGGACTTGATTTCAGCAAACACCTGGAACAGAGCAAGGCAAGCAAGACCATACCAGCACGAGGGTTAACACTGACCTGAACATAATAGTAGCTTTGGGAAATAATTATTTTAATGTGGCAACCAGGATAATGATCTGTATTTTCACAGGACCAAAGCTTAGGGCCCACCAAGGCTTCACAATGGTGAATGGAGCTTGGGAACTACTCACCTGTATACCCCCCTTATCTCTGTCTCTCTTAAAGCAAATGTATTTGTTGTTGAATGAGCTTTATTGAAAGTACATGGAGGCATTGCAGCATGATGGAGTTCAAAAGTAAGAAACTGTTGCAGAACTGAATAATGCGTCTGTGGTAAAGATGTGATCGCTGCAATGTCTCATCCTCTGCACAAACAGATATAAACATGGCAGCGATAATTATGAGATACCTTTGAAGGTGACCATTTTAGCCTTACAGAAAAAAAGACAAATTGACAAATGACAAATAGCTGTGTACAACTTTGAATCAAAATGAGTTCAACTTTCTGCAATATTGAAATATTGCTGAGCAGATTGATTTAATTAACAGTGACGCTGAACTGCTGAGTTAAAGCACAGGCTGTTTCCAAACCACATTGAGTTGCAGTTTTGCTACAGATATCGACATTACCATTTTCTTTAGTACTTTTGAAAAACCAAATATGCCAATTGGCATGTAACACACTGGCTACTAGGAAGCTTTCAAATAGATTTGAAACTCACTACTGTAAATTCATAACCTTTATGGATTGAGGTTTTCCTACTTTCAGAGAGATACTTACTCATAAAGTTATAAAACACAAATTTGTTGAGTATTGCTAAACATGGTCTTAAATCAGCTGAAGCCTTCAACTTGTGTGCTTGTGGTCTGTAAAATGCCTTTCCAGTAAAAGTTCAGGAAATCTGAAACAATATTTTTTTAAAATCTCAATCTTAAATCATGGTTACTCTTCTCATTCACATACCCCATAGCCTCTTCTGACATACAGTAGGACAGAATGGGTGATTTCACTGTGGAACCCATTTCCCATTACAGTCAAACTCTACAGCTCAGAGGCAGAGGCCAGTGAGTAGTGAGTAGTACCACTACTCTCTGGCCTCTGCTCTCATTTTCAAATGTCAATGCAGCCCAGCACTTCCATACCAAAGTGATTTTTTTGTTCCCTCGGTTTCAAATGAGTCTTTCTTAGCAAACATAGTCAAAACAAATGCAAAATGATCTCTACAACAAGCTTCTGACAGTGCTGCATGGGTACATAATATTGCCCCCGATTCAGCTGTCAGAAATACGGTGTAGCTTGGTCAGTTTTACTTCAGAAACAGATGTTCCAAGTTATTTCCTTCATCTCCTGCAAGAGACTGCTCTTAACTTTGATTTCCAGCTCATCAAAGCTCAGTAGCAGGGTGCAAAAATTAAGAAGAGAAGGTGCTGAAATGGCTATAATGTTGAAGAAATGTTTCTTTTCCTTCGTACACAGCACAGCACGACCTCTTATAAAAGAAACCAGAGCCTTATTAGCTTGTAGGCAGTATTCCCACTTTGAATACTGCTATCATCAACACCACAGGAAGCTTAACAGAATCCCAAAACAGGATTGAAAAGAAAATATTTCGTCCCTTGCACTAACCCACTTATAAAAAATAGATAGATTTCAAATACTATATGTATTGGGATGCATCAAATAATACTCATAACTAGATATATGTAAAATATAATCAGAGACTGAAATATATATTTAAAATACATTTCACATCTATGTTTCAATATATTTTTTCCAGCAATGCTAACAGATAAATGTGTGATACAGGTATGCCATTATAGTCTAACCAGAAATGTTGCCAGCTTGCACAGTTTATGTGTATGGAAGCAAGAAGTATTCAAATCAGGTAGAAATAACCTGAGCTCAATGGAGAGCCTGAAAACCTGTAAAACGTCTGGTGCTCGTGTGAAGCCAATCTGGCAAATACAGTACGTATTCCTGGAAGAGCAGTCCCAATACTGTATATGCTTTATTTAAGAAGGGAGAGTTCAAACTGAAATGCCATACTCAAAACCCCCAGCCTTTTCCAGTTTGGCCTGGAAATACTGCTGAGACCACTGCAGAGCTGGCTGTTCCACAGACTGGCCAATCTGTCTGCGTCTGAGAGACTGTTTATGCTCTCCATCACTGGAAAGACAGTCCTTATGTTTGGCATCCATCTGATTCCCCCCATCCCCAAAAAACAACTTTGCATTCAAATATATAAACTTAGCTGGAATTGTGTAAATCCATGTGTGGATTTCAGTACATTGTAGTAAAATACTGCATCAAATCTAGTGTGGTGTAGCACGTATCCCAGAGCTACAGTATAAGATGAAATAATGTTTTGTACAGTAGTTCTGTAGCCTAAACATTCTTTTTAACATCATAAGAATTTAACATGATTAAATACTCAGTTTGAATGCTATTGATTTTTGAAAAATGGCTGTTAATAAATGTAATTCATAACATATTGGAGGCATTCAGATAAATTTGTATTACAGGGTGAAGCACAGTATGTTTATTTTTACTAATTTTGTTCTGTGTCTTATTTTATAAATTGATTTTATAAATAGCTGCTCTGTTCAGTTCCTGTCAAGTGGTTATTGAAAGCCTAGGCTTTTATCTGACTTGGATAAAGATTTGAATTATGGAAATGTGTACATTTGAAGTAGACCTGAGAACATGTGTCCTTTCTGAGATTGTGTGTAAGACATGGACATTCTGGGATAAGGACAGAGGAGACAATGGAAAGTGAGGATGGAAGACAGGTGGAACTCAGTTTGATTTGGAGAAAGAAAACTGACATTGTGAAAATACATTGTTGAAATAATAAGGCCAATTTAATAATGTAGCTCTGATGGATAGACATCTGTGCAGGGAATGGTCCTGTCATGTGTCTTCAACTGCTGGGATAGGATCCAGCTAGGTATGACCCCTACTGGGAATAAACGGCTTTCTGACAGCAGGTGGATGGATGGATATTGAAGCCTTTAAGAGTCTCTTGGCTGTGCTGAGCTGTGTGTTTTTGTGTTTGTGTTGTATGAGTGGTGCTTGCACACACTGCACCTCTAATTTTATGTTATTGGTGTAATGCCTGGGCGGGTCTGAGCTTTCAACCCTCGGTCTCCTTGGAGACCAGTCGCATTCGACCCCACCCGGTGCTTCACTGGCAAGGTTTGGCAGGCACTGCCAGCCAACTGCCGCCTGTTAACCATGATCTGCACCATATTTAGGCCCCTCAGTACCATTCCTCAGGGCTTCCTTTTTGAGCCTCGCTCTGTTCCAATCTGAAAGATCTACAGTATTTTTCAGTGGTGTCTTGCTTCCTGGAGGCCTAGTGCAGCTTAAAACTTCCATCTGGCAGAGTCGTAACAAGTGGATTTGTGGATTTTAGTTGCAGTAGAGGCTTTTTTCTGTAACACTTCACTTTTCTTTATGAAGTTTACCTGGGATGGAGTTCATCCTATCTTTACCAAGCAAGCAACTGCACAACCTGAATGGTAATTTGTCACTTTTCTGCTGAAACATGATCCAAACCTTTGCATGTTGTGTGTGTGATGATTTCTTTTCCATCACAAGCATCCACAATGGAAAGAATCTGCATATAGGAGAGCACGTTATGGGTTTTGTTTCAGGCAAAAACCTCTCTGGTGGCATAAACCAAATATACCAATTGGCATGCAACACACTGGCTACTAGGAAGCTTTCCAACAGATTTCAAACTCATGATTTATAGCTTACACCAGAGTGAATTTCGTTTAAAGCAGGTACATGTGTCATATTGCATTTTGTAGTTTGTTTAATGTGCCTGCAGACAATGAGGGCAGGGGACTACACCTGGACATTTTCCTTTTCTTGATGAATCAATCCGTCACCTCTCTCCTGAATACAGGACAACACTTTGAATCAGTAAATACTGTTCCATTGGATCACAGAA